TCTATGTGTTTGTGTTCTATGTTGGGTGTCTAGGTTGTGGTTTTCTAGGTTTGTTCAATGACTCCCAATCGGAGGTAACGAGTGTCAGCTGTTCGGCTCGTTATCTCTGATTGGGAGCCATATTTATTTCTGTATGTTTTCCTGTGGGGTTTGTGGGTTTTTGTTTCCGTGTTGCTGTTTGTTGTATTCAGCATTGAACTTCACTTTCGTCTATTTTGGTTTATTGTTTTCGATCGTGGTTTCTTTATAAATAAAGTCTACGATGTTCGCTCAACACGCTGCGCTTTGGTCTCATCCTTCAGACGATCGTGACAGAAAAACCCACCCAAAAGAGGACCAAGCAGCGTGTCCAGGAGCCGAGGGTCTGGACATGGGAAGAGCTTTTGGACGGAAAGGGGTCCTGGACGTGGGAAGAAATCCTGGACGGTATGGATCGCCGTCCATGGAGCGAGACGGAGGAGAGGCGAAGGCGAGAGGAGCAACGGCGTCGGCAGAGCCAACGTCGTAAGGACGAGAGGCAACCCCAAGAAATTTTTGGGGGGGGGCACATGGCTTGGGCGACGGAGCAGCAGGAGGCCGCCACAAGGCAGAGTCAGAGGGCTGCCAGGTTAAGGGGGCTGACGGAGGCAGAGAAGGGAAGGATTCAGTGGGCTACCAGGTCAAGGGGGCTACTGGGTAAAGCAGAGAGGGAAGGTGTTGAGGCACGGCGTGAGGTACTGGGGTGTGTAACCAGTTCGGTCCGGCCCGTTCCTAGTCCCAAGGTGCAGCCAGTAGTGTGTGTTCCCCGTACGGTACAGCCTGTTCCGGTCCCTCGCACTAAGTGTAAGGTGCGCGTCGCCAGCCCGGTTCGGCCTGTTCCTGCCATACGCACCAAGTATGCGGTGCGCGTCGCCAGCTCAGCCCGGCCTGTTCCTACTCCACGCACCAGGGATACGGTGCGCTTCGCCAGCCCAGCCCGGCCTGTTCCTACTCCACGCACCAGGGATACGGTGCGCTTCGCCAGCCCAGCCCGGCCTGTTCCTACTCCACGCACCAGGGATACGGTGCGCTTCGCCAGCCCAGCCCGGCCTGTTCCTACTCCACGCACCAGGGATACGGTGCGCTTCACCAGCCCGGCCCGGCCTGTTCCGGCCACTCGCACCAGGGATACGGTGCGCGTCGCCAGCCCCGCCCGGCCTGTTCCTGCTCTCCGCACTAGGCGGGAGGTGAGTCCCCAGGGTCCAGCATGCCCTGTTCCGGCTCCCCGCACTAGGCGTTATGGGAGTCCCCAGGGTCCAGCATGCCCTGTTCCGACTCCCCGCACTAGCCCTGAGATGCGTGTCCTCAGCCCGGTACCTCCAATTCCGGCACCACGCATCAGGCCTACGGTGCGTCCCCAGGGCCAAGCATGCCCTGTTGCTTCTCCCCGCACTAGCCCTGAGATGCGTATCCTCAGCCCGGTACCTCCTGTTCCGGCACCACGCACCAGGCCTACGATGCGCCTCAGACGGCCAGAGTCTGCCGTCTGCCCAACGGGGCCTGAACTGTCCGTCTGCCCAACGCCGTCTGAACTGCCCGTCTGCCCAACGGCGCCTGAACTGCCCGTCTGCCCAACGCCGTCTGAACTGTCCGTCTGCCAAGCGCCGCAGGAGCTGCCCGTCTGCCATGAGCCTGCAAAGCCGCCCGTCTGCCATGAGCCTACAGAGCCGTCCGCCAGACCGGAGCCGCTAGAGCTCTCCGCCAGACAGGAGCAGCCAGAGCCTTCCGCCAGACAGGAGCAGCCAGAGCCTTCCGCCAGACAGGATCAGCCAGAGCCTTCCGCCAGACAGGATCAGCCAGAGCCTTCCGCCAGACAGGATCAGCCAGAGCCTTCCGCCAGACAGGATCAGCCAGAGCCTTCCGCCAGACAGGATCAGCCAGAGCCTTCCGCCAGACAGGATCAGCCAGATCCTTCTGCCAGACAGGATCCGCCAGAGCCGTCCAGCCGGGATCCGCCAGAGCCGTCCAGCCGGGATCCGCCAGAGCCGTCCAGCCGGGATCCGCCAGAGCCGACCAGCCAGGATTCGCCATTCAGCCTGGTACTGCCCCTTAGTCCGGTACTGCCCCTTAGTCCGGTACTGCCCCTTAGTCTGGTGCTGCCCCTTAGTCCGGTGCTGCCTCTTAGTCTGGTGCTGCCCCTTAAACCGGTGGGGGTCATTTGGAGGAGGCTACATAAGCGGGAAGTGACTATGGTGGGGTGGTGGTCTAGGCCGGAGCCAGAACCGCCACCGAGGAGGTATGCCCGCCCAGCCCTCCCCTGTTTGGGGGTTTTGAGGCGCGGTCGCTGTCCGCGCCTTTAGGGGGGGGTACTGTCACACCCTGGTGCTGGGACTCATTATTGTTTATCCAGGGTGTGTGCAGTCTATGTGTTTGTGTTCTATGTTGGGTGTCTAGGTTGTGGTTTTCTAGGTTTGTTCAATGACTCCCAATCGGAGGTAACGAGTGTCAGCTGTTCGGCTCGTTATCTCTGATTGGGAGCCATATTTATTTCTGTATGTTTTCCTGTGGGGTTTGTGGGTTTTTGTTTCCGTGTTGCTGTTTGTTGTATTCAGCATTGAACTTCACTTTCGTCTATTTTGGTTTATTGTTTTCGATCGTGGTTTCTTTATAAATAAAGTCTACGATGTTCGCTCAACACGCTGCGCTTTGGTCTCATCCTTCAGACGATCGTGACAGAAAACAAGGTTTTAGTAATAATGTGACCATCTGCTTTTTACCATATCGCAAAACACAAAAATCTTCTTAAACTATTAGAATAATCATCATTTTACACATAATTTGGCAACTTTAAAAAATATCTAGATATGCTTTGAATTTAAATATCTAGAAAGACACAATATGGCTGTCCATTGAAATAGAGTACAGCACCATTACAACTAAAGGTTTATACACAACGTACAATATCCCCAAAATGATGTGGTGACAGAATGACCAGGATAATGTTTACGTCCCAAAATGCATACTATTCTATGTAGTGCACTACTTTTGACCAGGGCTCTTGTGCACTATATAGGGAATAGGGTGTCATTTGGGATGCAGCCCCAGAATGATAGCATCGTATGCAGAAAGCATCCGCTAGATGGGAAGGAAGAATAGTTCACCATTTTAGAAGCTAGTGGGACATTGGCTGCATCCCAAATGGCACCGTATTCCTAATATAATGTCGTACTTTTGGCCAGGGCCCATAGTAGTGCACTATATTGAATAGGGCGCCATTTGGGACACTACCATTGAAGACAGGCTTCAGATGAGGGAGAGACGGGTAGAAACCAAACACAAGCAAAACAATGACAGTCAACAGACACCAACTGGAAATTCTGGTTCAATAGATTTTCTGCGAACATAGGAACAATGTTCCATCTTGTATCAGCATAAGGGAAATTCAATATGCTATGGAAATCAGGAAATTCTTTCTAAAGAACTAAAGGTTTAAATTAACATTCATTTGAATGCAGCAAAACCTGATTTAAATATATTTATTTCCCATTTGTATCACATACATGATGACCCCTTTCTCCTCAAAAAGCTAAGACCGGTCAGCTGGTCAGGGTCAACTCCTTTACTTCCTGTATTGACAGAATTGAAATGACATTGACCCCAACCCTGCTGTTCAGCTTGTTCCCATGAGGTTCAAGACAACATAAACACCAGTCCCCCAGCCTCTTTACAGAATGTTGGCTGTGTCCCAGTAATCTGTGTCCCAGTAATCTGTAGCGGCCATTACACTACAACTCAACTGGCCTGCTAGCTTGGCATTTTCTGATCTATACGGTAAACATGAATAGTTTGTCTGTGCTCTGGAGATATTCAATTGCATATGGGGCAATTGCTATTCTATAGAGCTTCATCTATAGATGTAGATATAGAGAAGAGAAGTACTGAAGGTGAGGGCAGTATAGTAGTGGAACAGAGAAACTACTAACAGTCCTCTGGAACATCACAGCACATAAATCACAACTGCACTCATAATGAACCTAATATACAGGTACAAAACATTATCAAAACACACGCATGCAGTGACAGAACCAGATCTGTTCCGAGTACAGTGACAGAACCAGATCTGTTCCAAGTACAGCGACAGAACCAAATCTGTTCTGAGTACAGCGACAGAACCAGATCTGTTCTGAGTACACAAATAGAGAAATAAAGAGCTGAAGAGAGAATAAATTCATAAACGTGTTGCTGGTCTGTTCTGTCTGATCAAGACAGTATTTACACTTTGTTACACATTGATTTCTCTAGTGCACTATATAGGGAACAGGATACCATTTGGGACGCAGCCTAGGCCTCCATCTGCTGCTACAGCTCAAAGCTTCAACTGAAATCTAATTCAAGCAGGGATTTAAAAGTTATCGAATTACAATTAATTATCACAAGGAGTATACTGGATCGATACTTGATATGAAATGCTTTAGTTTGAGCCTATTGTGATAGCTATGCCACTTCGCCAGTGGAATAAACAGTGTCATTTTACAGAGGTGAGGCTTCATCACGCGTCTCTGATAAGTATTGTAAAGGACGGAAAACAGAAATATCCATTAAAAAATAATCACAAACCTAATAATAAAATAATAATAACATGGTATAATCAAATGCAACCTTTATTTATCTTCTAATCAAAACATCTCAACCTTGTACACCATTCACCCGCCCCATAATAAGTCAACCTTCCCTTTCTCATATGTTGTATTATTGTCTGTATTGGTGATAATGACAGTTTTATTAGCTCCATCATGGCACACATTTGAATTGTGGAAATGTACAGTATAATGTAAAAGTAAGTTGTTACCAAGAGATTATTGCTTAACTGGCAAACACATGCTATTAAAAACAGTTTAAATACTGAGCATAACATAAACCCTATTACAAGAGCTATTGTGTATTGTAGATCTGAAAATATGAAAATGAAACATGAAATTGGTTCACATACCAAGTGTTCCTGATAGTTCTCACACTAAGATGCAACAATCTTCACAATAAATCTAAAACAGTCCATTCAATAGCTTCAAATAATTTGGCACCTTGGAACCTGAGGTGGGGAGGAATGGGGGTGGGAGGACTAGAGTAAACATAACTGAGGTGGAGAGGAATGGGGGTGGTAGGACTAGAGTCAACATAACTGAGGAGGGGAGGAAGGGGGTGGGAGGACTAGAGTCAACATAACTGAGGAGGGAGGAATGGGGGTGGGAGGACTAGAGTCAACATAACTGAGGAGGGAGGAATGGGGGGTGGTAGGACTAGAGTCAACATAACTGAGGAGGGAGGAATGGGGGTGGGAGGACTAGAGTCAACATAACTGAGGAGGGAGGAATGGGGGTGGTAGGACTAGAGTCAACATAACTGAGGAGGGGAGGAATGGGGGTGGGAGGACTAGAGTCAACATAACTGAGGTGGAGAGGAATGGGGGTGGGAGGACTAGAGTCAACATAACTGAGGAGGGGAGGAAGGGGGTGGGAGGACTAGAGTCAACATAACTGAGGAGGGAGGAATGGGGGTGGGAGGACTAGAGTCAACAGAACTGAGGAGGGGAGGAATGGGGGTGGGAGGACTAGAGTCAACATAACTGAGGTGGAGAGGAATGGGGGTGGGAGGACTAGAGTCAACATAACTGAGGAGGGGAGGAAGGGGGTGGGAGGACTAGAGTCAACAGAACTGAGGAGGGGAGGAATGGGGGTGGGAGGACTAGAGTCAACATAACTGAGGTGGAGAGGAATGGGGGGTGGGAGGACTAGAGTCAACATAACTGAGGTGGAGAGGAATGGGGGGTGGGAGGACTAGAGTCAACATAACTGAGGAGGGGAGGAAGGGGGTGGGAGGACTAGAGTCAACATAACTGAGGAGGGGAGGAATGGGGGTGGGAGGACTAGAGTCAACATAACTGAGGTGGAGAGGAATGGGGGTGGGAGGACTAGAGTCAACATAACTGAGGAGGGGAGGAAGGGGGTGGGAGGACTAGAGTCAACAGAACTGAGGAGGGAGGAATGGGGGTGGGAGGACTAGAGTCAACAGAACTGAGGTGGGGAGGAATGGGGGTGGGAGGACTATAGTCAACAGAACTGAGGTGGGGAGGAATGGGGGTGTGAGGACTAGAGTCAACAGAACTGAGGAGGGGAGGAATGGGGTGGGAGGACTAGAATCAATAGAACTGAGGGGGGAGGAATGGGGGTGGGAGGACTAGAGTCAACAGAACTGAGGGGGGAGGAATGGAGGTGGGAGGACTAGAGTCAACAGAACTGAGGTGGAGAGGAATGGGGGTGGGAGGACTAGAGTCAACAGAACTAAGGGGGGAGGAATGGGGGTGGGAGGACTAGAGTCAACAGAACTAAGGGGGGAGGAATGGGGGTGGGAGGACTAGAGAACAGAACAGGGCCCAGGAAGCAAAAAAGAGAAAATAACATGCATAATTATTTACATATTCAGAACTAAAAGATAACATAATTGTCAGTTTTTCATCTTGAAAATAAAAATTCTGTGCTGCTTCACTGTCTGTCCAAGGAGACCACCTTCTGCACCGTCTGAGATGACGTTCAGAGCTCTGTCTGTCACCACACACAGCATCACTTGGAATGGACATGAGTTGAGTTCTGTTCTGTCCTGTCTGTCTGTCTGTCTGTGAGGCAGGTGGACGGTAAGTACTATACAGGAGACCCCCCTTAGCGCAGTGGACATGAGTTCTGTCCTGTCTGTCCTCTCAATGGGCAGGTGGTAGGCTAGCTAGATACAGCTAGGCAGGCTACCCTCCTCTGATGCTGCATGGTGCCACTGTGGCTCTCCTCTTATGCGATGCGCGGTGCTGAGCGATCGTTGGTATTGGTCCTCTTCAGCTTGACCCCTCTCTGGATAGCCAGCAGCATGTTTCCCCCCTGACCATCCATAACCTCCCCATCCTCCAGGGACCCCCCTTCGCCCTGACACTGGAACCCAGGCTGGTGAGGGGCCAGGGGAGGGTTGGTGGTTGCTTGACCACTCCAGGACGCCAGGGGAAGTACACCCAGCTCCCCTTCTTCTCCCTGGGCTGGAGACTCAGGGCTCTGGGCCTCCTCTGGTTCCTCCGCCCCTACTCCTGGTCCTCCAGGAAGCCCCAGCCCCCCAGGTAATCCTCCTCCCACTAGGCCAGGCACGGTGGGGATCTTGACTGGGATGACGGGGGTCCGGATGGGGATGGGGCCGGTGATCCCGCGGCGGGCAGAGGGCTTAGTGGAGGGCGTGCGGCGGATGGTGGCGACCCCAGGGGTCATGATGACGGGGCCAGCCGTGGAAGGTAGGCCGGCGGTCGACGCTGGTCTCTTGGACTGGAACATCCTACGGTAGGACTGGCTGATGTCACTATTACGGGGGATGGTGGAGGACTTGTCAAACTCCTGCTGGTCAACCTCCTGGTCCCCTCCCATGGAGAAATAGTCGTAGTCTGACACTGGAATAAACACAGAGGGGGAGAGAGAAAGAGAGAAGAAAAAAAAAAGAGAGAGAGAGAGAGACAGACAGAGAGAAAAATGTTACTCTTCCTGGATTTATTATGGATCCCCATTAGTTCCTGCCAAGACAGCAGCTACTCTTCCTGGGGTTTATTATGGATCCCCATTAGTTCCTGCCAAGACAGCAGCTACTCTTCCTGGGCTTTATTAGGGATCCCCATTAGTTCCTGCCAAGACAGCAGCTACTCTTCCTGGGGTTTATTAAGGATCCCCATTAGTTCCTGCCAAGACAGCAGCTACTCTTCCTGGGGTTTATTAAGGATCCCCATTAGTTCCTGCCAAGACAGCAGCTACTCTTCCTGGGGTTTATTAGGGATCCCCATTAGTTCCTGCCAAGACAGCAGCTACTCTTCCTGGGGTTTATTAAGGATCCCCATTAGTTCCTGCCAAGGCAGCAGCTACTCTTCCTGGGGTTTATTATGGATCCCCATTAGTTCCTGCCAAGACAGCAGCTACTCTTCCTGGGGTCCAAACAAATTAAGGCAATTATTTTATTTTTGTATGGGATAATGGGATAAAGGGATAATCAACAAGGGGCTATGCGTTCTATGGAAGATGCGTCACGATAAAATGTCATTTTATGGATGTGATATTTAGCAAGAATTATAATGAAATGTATCACATACTTTTCGTTAATGGAGAATCTTGGAGTATCAAAAACAAAACAAAAACATCACAAGCTTGCAGATTCTATAGCTACTACCACGTTCGAGGGAGGATGGTTACTAACTTCCTGTTGATGACATTGGGCTTTCCGGCTTCTTCTGTGAAGGTTTAAGAGGTGCTGCCACCTACTGTAAGTAGTGTGCATTTCTCTTTTGGCAAAGGAGAGTAGAAACCATAGACTGTAGCAGCCTATGTGTATCTAATGCAGATAACATTACATTTACATTTACATTTTAGTCATTTAGCAGACGCTCTTATCCAGAGCGACTTACAGTTAGTGAATACATTACTTAGCAAAGGAGGGTAAAAAGGGGGTAGTTCTCTTTTGGCAAGGTTGTAGGAGAGTAGAAACCATAGACTGTAGCAGCCTATGTATAGCTAATGCAGATAACATTACTTGGCAAAGGAGGGTAAAAAGGGGGTAGTTCGAGTTTGTCGCTGTAAATGATCTCCATTAGTTCCTGCCAAGACAGCAGCTACTCTTCCTGGGGTTTATTATGGATCCCCATTAGTTCCTGCCAAGGCAGCAGCTACTCTTCCTGGGGTTTATTATGGATCCCCATTAGTTCCTGCCAAGACAGCAGCTACTCTTCCTGGGGTTTATTATGGATCCCCATTAGTTCCTGCCAAGACAGCAGCTACTCTTCCTGGGGTTTATTAGGGATCCCCATTAGTTCCTGCCAAGACAGCAGCTACTCCCATCCGGAGTGGAGCCGCTGACCGGAGCTGGACTGGGCACCGGTGGAGTGGACTGCTCTGGCTCCGGAGTGGAACCGCTGACCGGAGCTGGTCTGGGCACCGGTGGAGCGGACTGCCCTGGCTCCGGAGTAGAACTGCTGACCGGAGCTGGACTGAACACCGGTGGAGCGGACTGCTCTGGTTCCGGAGTGGAACCGCTGACCGGTGCTGGACCAGGCACCGGTGGAACGGGCACGGGCCGTGCCGGACTGGGAACACGCACCACGGGGTTGGTGCATCGTGGGAGGAAGGAGAGGGGAAGCATCACGCCGAGGTCCAGACCAGACCAGGGGCACAACGGGGAGGCAGAGAGGGAGAGGTCGTCACGCCCGCAGCCAGATCCGCCTCCGATGCTGAATGCCCACCCGGACCATCCCCTAATGAGTCAGGTTGGTGCGGCCGGAGTACGCACCTTTGGGGGGGGGGGGGGGGGTACTGTCACGCCCTGGCCTTGAGAGGCCGGTTGTCTTTAGTTGGTTTGGTCAGGGCGTGAGGATCTATGTTAGATTTTCTATGTTGCAGTTCTAGGTTGTGTGTCTATGTTTGGCCGGGTGTTATTCCCAATCAGAGACAGCTATCGCTCGTTGTCTCTGATTGGGGCTCATACTTAAGTAGCCTGTTTGTCTACCTTAGTTGTGGGATCTTGTTCCGGATAGGCTTGTATGTGTATAGCCTGAGGACTTCACGTTACGTTGTTTCTTGTTTTGTTTGTATGCTTATTTGGGTGAATAAACATGTACGCATATCACGCTGCACCTTGGTCTGACCCGTCTCTCAACGATCGTGACAGTTACATTACAGCCTTATTCTAAAATTGATTACATTCCTTTTCCCCCTCATTAATCTACACACAATACCCCATAATGACAAAGTGAAAACAGGTTTTTATAACTTTTTAGAAATGTCTTAAACATTTTAAACAGAAATACCTTATTTACATAAGTATTCAGACCCTTTGCTATGAGACTCGAAATTGAGCTCAGGTGCATCCTGTTCCCATTGATCATCCTTGAAATGTTTCTACAACTTGATTGGAGTCCACCTGTGGTAAATTCAATTTATTGGACATGATTTGGAAAGGCACACACCTGCCTATATAAGGTCCCACAGTTGACAGTGCATGTCAGAGTTCCTCTGTGGAGATGGGAGAACCTTCCAGAAGGACAACCATCTCTGCAGCACTCCACCAATCAGGCCTTTATGGTAGAGTGGCCAGACGGAAGCCACTCCTCAGTAAAAGGCACGTGACAGCCTAATTGGAGTTTGCCAAATGGCACCTAAAGGACTCTCAGACCAGAGATCCTTGATGAAAACCTGCTCCAGAGCACTCAGGACCTCAGACTGAGGCGAAGGTTCACCTTCCGACAGGACAACAACCCTAAGCACACAGCCAAGACAACGCAGGAGTGGCTTTGGGACAAGTCTCTGAATGTCCTTGAGTGGCCCAGCCAGAGCCCGGACTTGAACCCGATCGAACATCTCTGGAGAGACCTGAAAATAGCTGTGCAGCAACGCTCCCCATCCAACCTGACAGAGCTTGAGAGGATCTACAGAGAATAATGGGAGAAACTCCCCAAATACAGGTGTGCCAAGATTGTAGCGTCATACCCAAGAATACTCGAGGCTGTAATCGCTGCTAAAGATGCTTCAACAAAGTACTGAGTAAAGGGTGTGAATACTTATGTAAATGTGATATTTCAGTTTATAATTTTTTATACATTTGCAAAAATCTCTGGGGTATTGTGTGTAGATTGATGAAAGAAACAACAATTTAATCCAGGGGTCTGAATACTTTCAGAATGCACTGTATATCATATTCTTACCAGACACATACCTGGTATAGAGACAGTATCAATTAGAATGCTTGACATATTTACACAGAATGATATGGCGCTACAGGGCATGCATCCTTTTGCATATTTTCTCAGTGTGTGTGGGTGTTACCTTGTGAAGGTATGGTGTCCTCTGAACAGCACGGCGTGGTACTCTGGGTGCTATAGCCACTAGAACACTGTAGAGAGTCTCTACTGGAACGCTGTGTCTGTGAGTCCAGCTGTAGACCTCTGGACAGGGCCAGGGCCAACTCCTCATGGGCCTCCATCTCACACGCCTAAACACACACACACACATTAGATTGGGTTAGAAAACGTAATCCTTCTTTTTTCAGCATAAAGACAAAACAATCAATATAACACAGACATTGAATCACACAATGGACGGACACACACACACACACACACACACACACACAGACACACACACACACACACACATTTCAAGAAAAATGGTGTGACGAAAGTATTTTTGTTTGTGGAAGAAATTTGTCTAAAAGATAGATGAAAGCATGTGTCCAACTGACCTTGTAGGGTGGCAGTAGTGGTAGACTCCTGTTCTCTGGTGCTGGGATGACTCCAGCTGGTAGTGGTAGTGGGACAGAACTGATGTCTGCTGGTGCAGGCTCCTTGTCCTTCCTCCTTCTAAGGGTGTTCACCATGGGCTGGTCATAGGGTCCTGGCTTAGCCCAGTCCTACAGGATACACACAGAAACATAGCAGAGTTCACCTCCTCTACACAGAGCTTGGTATCCCTAGCTATGTTCTTTAATCATGGGCCTCTGAAGACCCTGGCAGCTGGGGATTCTGAACTATTATCATGATCTTCAAATACATCTTCTCCAGGAATACATCTGAAATCTACCATGAAACATGTAGAGGACTATGTTGTATATCGCAGTCATCCAACAGTCATTTTGCAATCTGATGTAACATAATAATAATTCAATAATAATTGAGTGGGTCCTACATAATGAGTATGAATAGATGTTGATGTTGTGTTTTAGGAACACAAGGAGTCAGGACATGATGAGGAGTGAACCAACAACCAACCTTCCAGCTGGGCACTTTAGAGGAGGGGACCATGTTAGGCCCCAGAGTGCAGTAATGAGGGTATTTAGGTAGAAGGGCCGAGCCCGGCCTGGACCACGACTGGGACGGACAGGAGGAGGAGGAGGTGATGGAGGAGGAGTGGGAGGAGGGAGGGAAGAGGGGGTAGGACCCCCCCAGGCCTGAACCCCCTCCTATCAGGTAGGACCCACCCAGGCCTGAACCCCCTCCCATCAGGTAGGGAGAGTCTGAATGATGATGATCCCCGTAGTGGTCATACCCGTTAAACAACTGAGCATGAGCAGGGGAACGGAATGACACAAACACACAAACAAACGTAGAAACACAAAATTGTAGAAATTGGTCAAATGATAAAAACCAACACAATAGGGTCAGGATAATAAAACAACACAATAGGGTCAGGATAATAAAACAACACAATAGGGTCAGGATAATAAAACAACACAATAGGGTCAAGATAATAAAACAACACAATAGGGTCAGGATAATAAAACAACACAATAGGGTCAGGATAATAAAACAACACAATAGGGTCAGGATAATAAAACAACACAATAGGGTCAGGATAATAAAACAACACAATAGGGTCAATATAATAAAACAACACAATCAGAAACACAACATAAAAGTTGATGAATGAAATAGATATAACTCAACATTTCCAGAGCACAAATAAACAAAGAATAAACTAAGAAAATGAATCCTGATTGACAAACCAGACTCTTGTTCTGAATTCTGAAATGTATGTGGATGACCATGATGACCCATGAGACTAGATATGTAACAGCAGGGATCAGAGATAGGTGAAAGGAAGCTGTGGGTGGAACACCTGGGTGGGTAGAGGGGTATGGAGAGGGTTGACACTATAGTTCCTGTAAGGACACTAGACTTGAGGGCTACAGCAATGGGGCGAGGGGTAGGGTGTCTATCATGAGAGGGGAGGGGTAGGGTGTCTATCATGAGAGGGGAGGGGTAGGGTGTCTATCATGAGAGGGGAGGGGTAGGGTGTCTATCATGGAAGGGGAGGGGTAGGGTGTCTATCATGAGAGGGGAGGGGTAGGGTGTATATCATGAGAGGGGAGGGGTAGGGTGTCTATCATGGAGGGGAGGGGTAGGGTGTCTATCATGAGAGGGGAGGGGTAGGGTGTATATCATGAGAGGGGAGGGGTAGGTGTCTATCATGAGAGGGGGAGGGGGTAGGGTGTCTATTATGAGAGGGGAGGGGTAGGGTGTCTATCATGAGAGGGGGAGGGGTAGGGTGTCTATCATGAGAGGGGAGGGGGTATGGTGTCTATCATGAGAGGGGAGGGGTAGGGTGTCTATCATAAGAGAGGAGGGGTAGGGTGTCTATCATGGAAGGGAGGGGTAGGGTGTCTATCATGAGAGGGGAAGGGTAGGGTGTCTATCATGGGTAGGGGAGGGGTAGGGTGTCTATTGTGGAAGGGGAGGGGTAAGGGTGTCTATCATGAGAGGGGAGGGGTAGGGTGTCCTATCATGAGAGGGGAGGGGTAGGGTTTCTATCATGAGAGGAAGGGGTAGGGTGTCTATCATGAGAGGGGAGGGGTAGGGGTGGTCTATCATGGGAGGGGAGGGGTAGGGTGTCTATTGTGGAAGGGGAGGGGTAGGGTGTCTATCATGAGAGGGGAGGGGTAGGGTGTCTATCATGAGAGGGGAGGGGTAGGGTGTCTATCATGAGAGGAGAGGGGTAGGGTGTCTATCATGAGAGGGGAGGGGTAGGGTGTCTATCATGGGAAGGGGTGCTTCCTCTCAAGGGAGGGATGGAGGGAGTATTTCACCTTGTCAGCTGCAGCCAGAGGCCCTCCAGAGCCCATGGAGGTGGGAGAGCTGCACTCACTGACTGACTGGCAGGTCTCAGAGGCCTCAGACGAGCCAGAGCTGGAGCAAGGCTGGAGGAACAGCAGCCGCAGGGGGAAGGAGGCAGACACACACACAGGCACGACAGAGGCCGAACGAAGTGCACAAGACGGGAGAAAATAGTTTTGGTGTAAAAGAGAGAGGGGTTTGAGTTCAGAGTAGGGTTAAAAGATTACCGGATATGAACATACACACATTCACACACAGTCACAACACATAAAGGAGAGGAAGCCGTGTAGCATAGTCAGCACATAAAGAGAGAACAGCAGGGAAGACGTTAGAAGGCATCTATCAGTCAGTGAGCTGCAGCACATTTAAAAACAATGTTTCAAAGGCTACCAGCAGTAAAGTTAGCACTGAGTTTCAGGGTGAAATGAGCTGTTGCCAAACAAAGTGAGACGTGAACCAGAGGATAGAATCATTTAGCATTAACCGTCCTCTCCTGGTAGAGAGCACAGGGAGAAGCAGATAGGCAGTCTGTTACAAAGCATATGTTTAAAGCGTTTAAAGCTAGCCAAACAAAGCCCAGTAGTAGTATTCTCCTGGTGGGTTTCTATGTTTGTGTTAGGAGTTGCGGTGCGGTAGCATTAGTGGTCGTCACTCTGAGACCTTATTCAGTACAGTGACCTAACAGAGGAAAGGGGGAACTCTACTCTAGACTGGCAGTTGGCCTTGTAACAAACCTCAACTATAGCTGAGTCCCAAACCCATCCGTCCATCCTTCCCCTTTACCCTAGCCCCACTCTCCGCCATATTCAAGGTTGTCCCAAAGCGGTGTGGGTCAGGAGCTAAATTGAGGAGTTAAGGGCTAATTAGACCCTCTGATAGCCACTTGGACTGAGCCAGGATGGTTTGGGATCAGGGTTATGGCTCTCTAAGACCCATTATGACCAATAGACTCCAAGGGTGAACACCAAGGCCTGCTCATGTGGTCAACCTTGGCTGACCCTGTAGTCTTCTGAACCAAGCTCTCCCCTGACCATAATATCAGGAGGTTTTATGACTACTACAATAGCTGTATAATATCCCCAATCATCTAGAAAGCGTATCCACACCCAGACAGATGAGTTTTCTAGTAGTAAGAGAGGGTTTTGTACTGTTACTAAAGAAGGAACTCAGAGAGGAAGTCGGAGAGGCTTAGATGGAAACTGTATCTGTAACTGACTGAGTAAATAGAAGTGGATGTGTGTTCTATGTGTGTTCAGCTGAGCAGACTGATGAATCATCGGTCTGCCCAGGACTCGGTAGTTCAGCTGAGGTACTGCCAGGACTGGTCTGTAGAACAGCCAGCCCAGTTACTGACCTCCCCAAGCCCCTCTCCTCAGGAGCAGGGTATCCTAGCAACCTGGGATGGCTAGTGTCTCTTATATACGATGTATAAGGAGGTCAAAGGTCTCATGAGGACTCATCGATCATAATATATTTATTGTTGACTTATACAGTTAGCCTGGGACAGGACACTGCCTTAAACCAAACTGTCGATTCACTTAGCTGGTGGACAGTTTCAGAAGGTATGGAGGGTTAATCTTAGGGTATAGAGTTCAATGTACAGGTAGTAGGGTCTTACCACTTGGTGGTGTAGTGTAGTGTAGTGTACTGTACTGTAGTGTTCTGTAGTCTTACCCGTGGTAGTGTCTCCTGCGGCATGGGTGATGGTGACTTGGAGGTGTAGGCGTCTGGCTGGGAGATGAATCCTGAGTCGTGGGAGGAGATGGAGGACAGTCGGGCCGGGGCCTGCTGGGGCAGGGTGGAGCTACGGCAGCCGTAGTGGGAGGAGGAGGAGGAGGGGGAGTGAGAGTGGGATGTGCCGCTGGAGCGAGAGTCACTACTGTTTATGCTGTTCAGACTGCTGTTAGGGTGAGACAGGTGGAGAGACAGACAGGTGGAGAGACAGACAGACAGACAGACAGGTGGAGACAGACAGACAGACAGACAGACAGACAGACAGACAGACAGACAGACAGACAGACAGACAGACGCACAGGCAGGAGAGGGAGACAGACAGACAGACAGGTGGAGAGACAGACAGACAGACAGACAGGCAGGCAGGGGCACAGGCAGGAGAGACAGACAGACAGACAGACAGACAGACAGACAGACAGACAGACAGACAGACAGACAGACAGACAGACAGACAGACAGACAGACAGACAGACAGGGGAACCGGTAGGAGGGGGAGAGACAGAGGGAGACAGACAGACAGTGAATGGGTTAACACTCCAAACCAATGCAGCAGGCAGTGACTGTGAACAAACCAGTCAAATTACAACGGTAAAACACATGAAAACAATCATGCATGAAATCATAAGAAACATTACGGCAATATCAATATCAACATCTATCATTGCTCAGCGCAACTACAAGAAGTTGCACTGTGGTCGCGATGCAGACATGTGCCTTTGACCATCAGGGTCCATTGACCATCAGGGTCCATTGACCATCAGGGTCCATTGACCATCAACAGCGACATTTTAGCTTGGATCTGTGGATCTAACAATTAGAATGAAAATGTTTAATCAAACTCAATGCATCACAAGATCAAAACAAGGCAGACATCACAGCACAAAGTGTTTTGCAAAACCAAAACCAGTTGTGACAACAACAACACCATGAATGGAGGGACAGAAGGTTGGACTAAAGGGTATTATGAGTGATATTCTATTGAAACAGCTGGAAGATTAGTGTGAAATTACAGTGACATTTGTATTGAAATCTATACATTCATAACACAAGCAATGATATATTACAAGTCTGGTGAAATGAATTCACTATTTTCAATTCCCCAGCAAAAAAGTACATGAAAAGATTGGGCAGTTATATGACATCCCAAGGCTGCAGTTTCTCTACCCACCACTGGGGGGCAGGGGCCGTCTTCATCAGGGCGTCTAAGACTAGGATCAGGTCGCCACTGTCGATATAACCTTATTCAATCTGCAAAATTTAGGCAAAACTGATCCTAGATCAGCACTCCTACTCTGAGACTCTTTGTGAATATGGATCCAGGGCTGTTTTTAGTTCAGTTAAGGGGAAACATTCATTTACGTCATATAGCAGACGCTCTTATACAGAGCGACTTACAGGAGCAATTAGGGTTAAGTGCCTTGCTCAAGGGCACATCGACAGATTTTTCACCTAGTTGGCTCAGAACCAGCGACCTTTCGATTACTGGCACAGCGCTCTTAACCACTAAGCTACCTGCCGCTATTCAGGATGTGATCTGGTTCTGGTGCTAGACACTTACCACTACATACTGGGTTTACAACAGCAATGGAACTACCAGAGATGACACATTTCTATCTGAAGGTTCTGAACAGGCCCCGGAGTAGATAAAGGTGACAAGCTGTGGTTCTGGTCCTAGACACCTACCTGCACATACTGGACTTCCTGGACATAGTGGTGCTGGGGGAGGAGGGAGGAGTCTGATAGGACCAGTTATAGTCAGAGCCCTTCAAATCCAGAATCACCTGACAGGACAGAACACAATGACAGATCAGAGTCTGAGGAAGACACACACGGGCCAGATCTGAAATGGAACCCTATTTCAGGGCTGTGGCCAGAAGTAGTGGAGTACATTGGGAATAGGGTGCCATTTCCAAACCTTTATCAGATCCAGAATAACCTGACCGGTAATCAACAATAGGAGCAGGTCAGAGTCTGAGGAGGATACACGTGGCACCCTATTGACTACATACTGTAGTGCACTACTTCCGGCTCAGACGGCTCAAAAGTAGTGCACTATATAGGGAATAGGGTGCACAAACAACCTTAACAGGTTAGCTTATATCAGGTTGGACTGAGCTTGAGGTAGACAGACATAAACCCTTTCAAACCCCTGGAGGGTTGACACGGACATAAACACATTTAGTTCCCAGGCAGTAGAGGAGGATGATGTGACACAGAGCAGCAACGCAGGTAGTTGGGCAAGAGAGGGGAGGGGAGGCTGGGAGGCTGCTCTTAGGGCCCTGGTAGTTGAGGAGGATGTGAATAAGAGAGGGGAGGGGAGGCTGGGATGCCCTTAGGGCCCTGTACGTGTTTCTACATGTCTCTCCCTGACTGTCAGTCAGTCTTTTCTAAAGGCAAAAGGAGGAGTGTGACTCTGACTCAAGATTCCTCAGGAGGATTTACAGTGCCTTCAGACAGTATTCATACCCCTCGATTTACCGAGTGGCGCAGTGGTCTAAGGCACTGCATCGCAGTGCTAGCTGTGCCACTAGAGATTCCTGGTTCGAATCCAGGCTCTGTCGTAGCCGGCCGCGACCGGGAGACCCATGGGGCGGCGCACAATTGGCCCAACGTTGTCCAGGGTAGGGGAGGGAATGGCTGGCAGGGGATGTAGCTCAGTTTGTAGAGCATGGCGTTTGCAACGCCAGGGTTGTGGGTTTCGATTCCCACGGGGGGTATGAAAAAAGTAATGTATGCACTAACTGTAAGTCGCTCTGGATAAGAGCGTCTGCTAAATGTATTCCACATTTTGTTGTGTTGCAGCCTGAATTCAAAATGAATTACATATATTTTTTTCTCACCCATCTACACACAATACCCCATAATGACAAAGTGAAAACATGTTTTTAGAAAAAATTTGCTAATTTATTGAAAAAGAAATACAGAAATATCAAATGTATATAAGTGTTCACACCCCTGAGTCAATACATGTTAGAATCACCTTTGGTAGGGTTAGGGAATTACTGTATTTACCTGTTCGCTGGCGGGGGGCAGCTTGTGAGGGTCCATGGTCAGCATCTTGAGGTCATCAGATATGGTCTGGAGGTGGGTGACCTCTCCTAGCATGGATATCTCCTCATCCTGGAATGATCACAATGTGTTTATTGATCCTTTATTTATCCAGGTGATGTCATTGAGCATGGAGATGTCCTCAGTCCTACTCATACTGATCACACAACACAACAGCATCTTAAACTGCAACGTCAGCAATGTGCTTCCTATGGAACATTTCCTCTGGGTGTTAGTGAGGAACATTTCCTCTGGGTGTTAACGAGGAACATTTCCTCTGGGTGTTAATGAGGAACATTTCCAATGGGTGTTAATGAGGAACATTTCCAATGGGTGTTAATGAGGAACATTTCCTCTGGGTGTTACAGAGGAACATTTGGTGAGTGAGTGAGGTATCCCATGGTGAGGCCGTATGGCTCTGTTTTGGTGTGTGTGTGTGTGTGTGTGTGTGCAGTATGTGTGTGTGCAGTGTGTGTGTGTGTGTGCAGTGTGTGTGTGTGTGTGCAGTGTGTGTGTGTGTGTATGCAGTGTGTTTGTGTGTGCAGTATGTGTGTGTGTGCAGTATGTTTGTGTGTTTGTGTGTTTGTGTGTGTGTGTGTGTTTGTGTGTGTGTGTGCAGTGTGTGTGTGTGTGTGTGTGCTCTCCATCATGGGCCGTAGGAATGGACACAAAGGTGTATGTGTGTGTAGTACCGACAGACTCACCCCCCCCACGGCCTTAGCTTAGACATGAAGCCTGACCTCCTGACCTCCTGACCTCTGTGTTGTGTGTTAGTGTGTGTTATGTTTGACTCACCACGACAGGTCGTAGCATGGAGACGAAGGTGCATAACCTGCTCCTCTCCTCGATGAGGGCCTTCCTGACGGCCTGTTTCTCTGTCTCTTCTAGCAGCAGGTATTTATCACTGACATCCTGCATGGCACTGTCCAGCTGGGGCTGGATGTCTCCTCGACCTGGAACACAGCATGACTGTCAATCTACTGTCACTATCATTATACATCACTGACATCATACTGGGGGGCCCTTCAAAACAGACCTGCTGGGACATATACAGTGAGGGAAAAAAGTATTTGATCCCCTGCTGATTTTGTATGTTTGCCCACTGACAAAGAAATGACCAGTCTATAATTTTAATGGTAGGTTTATTTGAAAAGTGAGAGACAGAATAACAACAAAAAAATCCAGAAAAACGCATGTCAAAAATGTTATAAATTGATTTGCATTTTAATGAGGGAAATAAGTATTTGACCCCTCTGCAAAACATGACTTAGTACTTGGTGACAAAACCCTTGTTGGCAATCACAGAGGTCAGACGTTTCTTGTAGTTGGCCACCAAGTTTGCACACATCTCTGGAGGGATTTTGTCCCACTCCTCTTTGCAGATCTTCTCCAAGTCATTAAGGTTTCGAGGCTGACGTTTGGCAACTCAAACCTTCAGCTTCCTCCACAGATTTTCTATGGGATTAAGGTCTGGAGACTGGCTAGGCCACTCCAGGACCTTAATGTGCTTCTTCTTGAGCCACTCCTTTGTTGACTTGGCCGTGTGTTTTGGGTCATTGTCATGCTGGAATACCCATCCACGACCCATTTTCAATGCCCTGGTTGAGGGAAAGAGGTTCTCACCCATGATTTGACGGTACATGGCCCCGTCCATCGTCCCTTTGATGCGGTGAAGTTGTCCTGTCCCCTTAGCAGAAAAACACCCCCAAAGCATAATGTTTCCACCTCCATGTTTGACGGTGGGGATGGTGTTCTTGGGGTCATAGGCAGCATTCCTCCTCCTCCAAACACGGCGAGTTGAGTTGATGCCAAAGAGCTCCATTTTGGTCTCATCTGACCACAACACTTTCACCCAGTTCTCCTCTGAATCATTCAGATGTTCATTGGCAAACATCAGACGGGCCTGTATATGTGCTTTCTTGAGCAGGGGGACCTTGCGGGCGCTGCAGGATTTCAGTCCTTCACGGCGTAGTGTGTTACCTATTGTTTTCTTGGTGACTATGGTCCCAGCTGCCTTGAGATCATTGACAAGATCCTCCCGAGTAGTTCTGGGCTGATTACTCACTGTTCTCATGATCATTGCAACTCCATGAGGTGAGATCTTGCATGGAGCCCCAGGCTGAGGGAGATTGACAGTTCTTTTGTGTTTCTTCCATTTGCGAATAATCGCACCAACTGTTGTCACCTTCTCACCAAGCTGCTTGGCGATGGTTTTGTAGCCCATTCCAGCCTTGTGTAGTCTACAATCTTGACTCTGACATCCTTGGAGAGCTCTTTGGTATTGGCCATGGTGGAGAGTTTGGAATCTAATTGATTTATTGCTTCTGTGGACAGGTGTCTTTTAAACAGGTAACAAACTGAGATTAGGAGCACTCCCTTTAAGAGTGTGCTCCTAATCTCAGCTCGTTACCTTATAAAAGACACCTGGGAGCCAGAAATCTTTCCGATTGAGAGGGGGTCAAATACTTATTTCCCTCATTAAAATGCAAATCAATTTATAACATTTTTGACATGTGTTTTTCTGGATTTTTTTGTTGTTATTCTGTCTCTCACTGTTCAAATAAACCTACCATTAAAATTATAGACTGATAATTTCTTTGTCAGTGGGCAAATGTACAAAATCAGCAGGGGATCAAATACTTTTTCCCTCACTGTATGTGAAATACTTGAAAGTATTTGAGGGCACTTGATTCAGCTTGGAGTCTGCGCTTTTGTGACTATTCCATGTGCAATGTAGGTATGGTGTATGACCTCTTTGGGGACAAAGGGGGGGACACTATCACTACTGGGCTTTTGTTGTTTATCCTGTCCTTGAAGACTGGCAGACTATCCTCCCTGAGTGCCCCCCCCCCTAAGGCCTAAGCAGCCAGTCACACCCCTCAGGGGTATCTAACCTTTTGTCACCAGCCTCTCCCAGACCCCATCAAGGTCACAACCAAGCTGGAAAATGTAAAGTAAAATGTTTCTCAACAGTGGCTTTGTGGATGACAGTTAAAGAATAGGCTACTGCTACTGTAAGTCAAATGTAGGGCTGTACCATTGTGCTTCAATGAGCAGTGAGAACGTAACATGACATTTTGGGAAACTCACATTGTTCAGTAGTCGTTTAACAAAATGGATGGATGATATTTCCATATAGGAACCCAAACATTTCCCTTTTTGGTTTGGCTGCCATTCCAGCGCTCAGAGAAATATGGGAGTCATGTTTGTGTTTATAGCACTATTTCTACTTTCCTAGGATTCTGGGAAACAAACAGAAGAGATGGAGCGGAAACTCAAATTGACACATACAGTCAGAATTCCTCTATACTTTTACAGTAAACTAGGATCCAAGAAAAGCTTTTCAAGTACACAGATATATAATTACTCTGTGATTTCTATGAGAGCTGCCTGGCCTCAGAAAGGTGGCACGGACCTCTGCTCTCGTCAAAAAAAGTCCATCCCTGGTTGGTGTTACCCTCTGACCATGGAATGCACTGTTTTGGTTTTTACACAGGCAGTCGGATGTCGGAGTGTGTGTGTGTGTCCCGAGGCAGTCGGATGTCGGAGTGTGTGTGTGTGTGTGTGTGTGTCCGAGGCAGTCGGATGTCGGAGTGTGTGTGTGTGTGTCGGAGTGTGTGTGTGTCCGAGGCAGTCGGATGTCGGAGTGTGTGTGTGTGTGTGTGTGTGTCGGAGTGTGTGTGTGTGTGTGTGTGTGTGTGTCGGAGTGTGTGAATGTGTGTCGGAGTGTGTGTGTGTGTGTGTGTCGGAGTGTGTGTGTGTCGGAGTGTGTGTGTTGGAGTGTGTGTGTGTGTGTGTGTCAGAGTGTGTGTGTGTGTGTGTGTCAGAGTGTGTGTGTGTGTGTCAGAGTGTGTGTGTGTGTGTGTGTATGTGTGTGTGTGTGTGTGTGTGTCGGAGTGTGTGTGTGTGTCGGAGTGTGTGTGTGTCTGAGTGTGTGTGTGTGTGTCTGAGTGTGTGTGTGTGTGTGTGTGTGTGTCTGAGTGTGTGTGTGTGTGTCTGTGTTCTTGGCCAGCTCATTATCCATAATGCTGGGTAGTTCCAAGCATGAAATGACAGCTTAGGCTTGTTGTTAAAGTGAGCTTTAGCTGCTGTTAGGTTACAGTGTGTGTTAGTGTGGGTGTGTGTGTGTGTGTACGCAACATGTTTGTTATGTCTGTATCTCTGTGTCAATGACAAGGGCCAGATTGCTGCTTCCTGAAGCCACAGACAACTAGCAGTCTCATTTACTTTGTGGCTTTGTGTAGGATGTCTGTGTGTGTGTGTGTGTGTGTGTTCTTTTCCAAATGTCAAGACCTACAGGCTACACAACTTTGTAACAACTACTTATAGACCAGATTAGTTTTGACAACAAAACCGTAACAGCATTTCTGTGACCCACGTAAACAACAATTTCATTTCAACCTTTTTTTCAACCCAAACCATCCCAAACCATCCCAAACCACCCCAAACCATCCCAAACCATCCCAAAACATACCCACACAAGCCACTATCGTGGGACAAACATTGGGTCAGGAATTAATCTCAGACAAGAATTCATTAGATAACATGCATCAGAAGTTCATGCTACTGCAATGCCCCAACCAAAGTATCAAACAGACAGTGGTAGGAACCCAGCGAACCTGTACACGCCTTCCCGCCCTTGGCAGATCTTTCAGACTAGCCAGACAACATGGGGGCAACGAGGGCTTGGAGCGTTTTCATCAATTGGTTTGATAACAGAAAGGACAGGCTAGGACAGGGGAGGACGACAGTGAGGATCGGGAGTGAGCCAGAGAACATAGAACAGGACAGGACAGGGACGAAGAGACAGGGGAGGACAAGTCAGAAGGAGGGAGTGAGACAGAGAACAGAACAGACAGGACAGGGCTAGACAGGGGAGGACAGGACAGGAGGAGGGAGTGAGAAAGAGAACAGAACAGACAGGACAGGGCTAGACAGGGGAGGACAGGACAGGAGGAGGGAGTGAGAAAGAGAACAGAACAGACAGACAGGGCAGACAGGGAGGACAGGACGGATGAGGGTAGACAGAGACAACAGGCCACAGGAGGAGGAGTGAGAAAGAGAACGAACAGCACAGGACAGGGCTAGACAGGGGAGGACAGGACAGGACAGGGCTAGCCGGGGGAGGACAGGACAGGACAGGGCTAGACCGGGGAGGACAGACAGGAGGAGGGAGTGAGACAGAGAACAGAACAGACAGGACAGGTTAACTGGGGCTAATCCACAAGACAAACTGAAGTGAACCAGTGCTGCTTCAGAAACTCTCCCACTCAATTTGAGTCCTCCTATCATCTAATGTTGTATACAGAGTCAGCCTATCAGGGATAACACACATACCGTCTCACTGTCAGGACTGCAGTGCTCATCCAGGGCTAACTGAGGACTAAGAGACAGGAGAAACTACAGTCTCACTGTCAGACTGTGTTGCTCATCCAGGGCTAACTGAGGACTAAGAGACAGGAGAACTACAGTCTCACTGTCAGACTGTGTTGCTCATCCAGGGGCTAACTGAGGACTAAGAGACAGGAGAAACTACAGTCTCACTGTCAGACTGTGTTGCTCATCCAGGGCTAACTGAGGACTAAGAGACAGGAGAAACTACAGTCTCACTGTCAGACTGTGTTGCTCATCCAGGGCTAACTGAGGACTAAGAGACAGGAGAAACTACAGTCTCACTGTCAGACTGTGTTGCTCATCCAGGGGCTAACTGAGGACTAAGAGACAGGAGAAGCTCTTCCTAGATCATTATGTGTGTCTATACTGGATGCCTTGGGGATATAGGTCAGTTACAGAAGGCAGCTTACAGGCTCTATAACTGATTCATAAGCCCAGCCTGCTCTCCTAGGCCACAACTAGAGGGAACTCCCCTCATACGGTAAAGTATGGAATCATAAATTTAAGTGAGACGCTGCAGAAATGTAAGCGAGACGCTGCAGTTATAAATTCTCTCTCCATCTCTCTCTCTCTCTCTCTCTCTCCTCTCTCTCTCTCTCTCTCTCCTCTCTCTCCCTCTCTCTCTCTCTCTCTCCTCTCTCTCTCTCTCCATCCTCTCTCTCTCCTCTCTCTCTCTCTCTCTCTCTCTCCTCGTCTCTCTCCTCTCTCTCTCTCCTCCCTCCCTCCCTCCCCCCCCCCCCCTCCCTCCCTCCCTCCCTCCCTCCCTCCAAGTCTGTTATGAGATTATCCTCGCTTCATATGACTGATAAATCTCCCAGAATCTCAGTTGTCCCTGTAAGTCTGTGGCCTGTTGAAAACATCATGCCAAACAACATGGGTTCCAGGTGAGTAGAGCAGCTCTCTCTCCAAGGAAGACAACTAAAACACATACGTCTGTTTCCATTGGCCTCTTTCATATTAACAAAATAAAACCTTGTCCTCCCTGGGAAAACAGACCAGCACAGTTTCATCTAAATGCTGAGCATACCCCTGTACTGATGCTGTGGAGGGGTGTGTGTGTGTGGTGTGTGTGGTGACCCTCTTCCATCATTAGGGAAGGCTGGGGGAGAGAGAGAGGAGAGAGAGAGAGAGAGAAGAGAAAAAAGAAAGAGAGAGAGAGAGACAGAGAGAGAGAGAGAGAGAGAAGAGTAGAGAGAGACAGATAGAGAGAGAGGATCGAGTATCCTCGTCTCTCGCTCTCTTGGCCTCTCTCTCTCTTCTCTCTCTCTCTCTCTCTCTCTCCGCCTCTCTCTCTCTCCCTCTCTCTCTCTCCGCTCTCTCTTCCCCTTTACTTTTCCTCCCCCCCCCGCCTTCACCTCCCTCTCTCTCTCTCTCCTCTCCGCTTCTCTTCTCCTCGCTCGCTCTCGCGCTCTCTCTTCGTCGCTCGCTCTTCGCCTCTCTCCTCTCTCGCCTCCTCTGCTCTCTCTTCCCGCTGGCTGCGTCTCTCCTCCTCCCTCTCCCCTCGCGCGCCTCCTCTCGCCTGCCTCTCTTCTCTCTCGCTCCTCTCCTCTCGTTGCGCTCGCTGCTCTCTCTTCTCTCGCTCTCTCGTCGCTCGCTCTCTCCTCTCTCGTCTCTCTCTCTCTGCCCTCCCCCCCGCTCTCTCTGCTCCTCCCTCGCTCTCTATGGGTAGTGAATTCCAGCAGAACAGACCGGGATAGTAAGCAGTGTAGCAGCACAAGGTAGACTGACAGACTGACTGAATCCCTGGACCCCACAGAGAGGCCGCAGAGCAGGCTGGAGGGCTGACAGACAGACTAACACACCCACAGACATACCACCAGTCTGTTACAGACTTACCCAGGGCATCAGCTGCAGGGCAACAACAACAGGTGCCCAGTGACCGGGGGGGGCAACAAGGTCGACGACATGGCCGTAAAGAGAAAAACATTTCAGTCAGTCAAGAGGCCTGAAGGTGACTGCAAACTTCATGTTGCTAATATGTGTCACTGTGACTCTCACTGTTTGTCTAATAATGGTCCTTTATCTTTAACTAGACACTTTTATCCTAAGCGACTTACAAAATTGTCAGCATTGACACTGACATATATCAGCATATTCATTATGTGACCCAACATGAGTCTAGCTGTTTGATCTGCCAAAGAGGGCTGTGTGAGGGTGAACGTGTTGTACTAATAACATACTTCCTAATGAAGAGCCCAAGCTGGAAAAACATGTTTGAGGAATTCAGTCTAGACAGATATATGGTGTTAAACATATATCCACGTGTCCAATGGTGAAAACTTCCCCTTGAAGTCAGGATGACTTATTCCTTTTAGCTCCTAGTAAAGCATAGGGCCTGTAGAAAAACAAAACATTTAGGCTAGCTAGTTCAGTGTTTCAGGTGGTTTTGGTCATTTAGGCTGGCTAGTTCAGTGTTTCAGGTGGTTTTGGTCAATACATTTAGGTTAGCTAGTTCAGTGTTTCAGGTGGTTTTGATTAAGACATTTAGGTTAGCTAGATCAGTGTTTCAGGTGGTTTTGATTAAGACATTTAGGTTAGCTAGTTCAGTGTTTCAGCTGGTTTTGATCAAGACATTTAGGTTAGCTAGATCAGTGTTCCAGGTGGTTTTGATGAAGACATTTAGGTTAGCTAGTTCAGTGTTTGAGCTGGTTTTGATCATTTAAGCTAACTAGTTCAGTGTTTCAGCTGGTTTTGATCAAAACATTTAGGATAGCTAGGTCAGTGTTTCAGCTGGTTTGATCATTTAGGCTAACTAGTTCAGTGTTTCAGCTGGTTTTGATCAAGACATTTAGGTTAGCTAGTTCAGTGTTTCAGCTGGTTTGATCATTTAGGCTAACTAGTTCAGTGTTTCAGCTGGTTTTGGTCAAGACATTTAGGTTAGCTCGATCAGTGTTTCAGGTGGTTTTGATCAAGACATTTAGGTTAGCTAGTTCAGTGTTCCAGGTGGTTTTGGTCATTTAGGCTAACTAGTTCAGTGTTTCAGCTGGTTATGATCAAGACATTTAGGTTAGCTAGATCAGTGTTCCAGGTGGTTTTGATTAAGACATTTAGGATAGCTAGTTCAGTGTTTCAGCTGGTTTTGATCAAGACATTTAGGTTAGCTAGATCAGTGTTCCAGGTGGTTTTGATGAAGACATTTAGGTTAGCTAGTTCAGTGTTTCAGGTGGTTTTGATCATTTAGGCTAACTAGTTCAGTGTTTCAGGTGGTTTTGATCAAGACATTTAGGTTAGCTAGATCAGTGTTTCAGGTGGTTTTGATCAAAAAAATGTAGGTTAGCTAGATCAGTGTTTCAGCTGGTTTTGATCAAGACATTTAGGTTAGCTAGATCAGTGTTTCAGGTGGTTTTGATCGAAACATTTAGGTTAGCTAGTTCAGTGTTTCAGGTGGTTTTGATCATATGACTAGCTAGTTCAGGGTTTCAGGTGGTTTTGATCAAGACATTTAGGCTAGCTAGTTCAGTGTTTCAGGTGGTTTTGATCATTTAGGCTAACTAGTTCAGTGTTTCAGGGGGTTTTGATCAAGACATCTAGGTTAGCTAGTTCAGTGTTTCAGGTTTTTTTGATCATTTAGGCTAACTAGTTCTGTGTTTCAGGTGGTTTTGATCAAGACATTTAGGATAGCTAGTTCAGTGTTTCAAGTGGTGTTGATCATTTAGACTAGCTAGTTCAGCGTTTCAGGTGGTTTTGATCAATACATTTAGGTTGCTAGTTCAGTGTTTCAGCTGATTTTGATAATTTAGGCTAACTAGTTTAGTGTTTCAGGTGGTTTTGATCATTTAGGCTAACTAGTTCAGTGTTTCAGGTAGTTTTGATCATTTCGGCTAGCTAGTTCAGTGTTTCAGCTGGTTTTTATAATTTAGGCTAACTAGTTCAGTGATTCAGATGGTTTTGATCAACACATTTAGGATAGCTAGTTCAGTGTTCCAGGTGGTTTTAATGAAGACATTTAGGATAGCTTGTTCAGTGTTTCAGATGGTTTTGATCAAGACATTTAGGTTAGCTAGTTCAGTGTTTCAGGTGGTTTTGATCAAGACCTTTAGGCTAGCTAGTTCAGTGTTTCAGGTGGTTTTGATCATTTAGGCTAACTAGTTCAGTGTTTCAGGTGGTTTTGATCATTTAGGCTAACTAGTTCAGTGTTTCAGGTGGTTTTGATCAAGACATTTAGGTTAGCTAGTTCAGTGTTTCAGGTGGTTTTGATCAAGACATTTAGGCTAGCTAGTTCAGTGTTTCCGGTGGTTTTGATCATTTAGGCTAACTAGTTCAGTGTTTCCGGTGGTTTTGATCAAGACATTTAGGTTAGCTAGTTCAGTGTTTCAGGTGGTTTTGATCAAGACATTTAGGCTAGCTAGTTCAGTGTTTCAGGTGGTTTTGATCAAGACATTTAGGTTAGCTAGTTCAGTGTTTCAGGTGGTTTTGATCAAGACATTTAGGCTAGCTAGTTCAGTGTTTCAGGTGGTTTTGATCATTTAGGCTAACTAGTTCAGTGTTTCAGGTGGTTTTGATTATTTAGGCTAACTAGTTTAGTGTTTCAGGTGGTTTTGATCATTTAGGCTAACTAGTTCAGTGTATCAGCTGGTTTTGATTATTTAGGCTAACTAGTTTAGTGTTTCAGGTGGTTTTGATCATTTAGGCTAACTAGTTCAGTGTTTCAGCTGGTTTTGATCATTTAGGCTAGCTAGTTCAGTGTTTCAGCTGGTTTTTATAATTTAGGTTAGCCAGTTCAGTGTTTCAGCTGGTTTTGATCAAGCCATTATTCATCAACTTCTCATCAAACATTCAACTTCTCTCTATGTATGGTGTTCTTCCAAAACATTGCATTTCTGCGAGCTACAGCACTGCCAACCTGATACTAACAGAAATCTGCTCCAATCTTCCCTCTGTTTCCAAGTAAGGTAATGTTTACATTTACATTTACATCATTTAGCAGACACTCTTATCCAGAGTGACTTACAAATTGGTGCATTCCATGCTAGATGTCCAGATTGTTAATCAGTGTTGGGGTAATAATAAGAAGACCAGGTGCATACTGCTAAATACTGCACCATGGAAATACAACAGCACAGAATTTGAGCTATAGAAGTGTTAAAAAAGGTCGAAGTTCACTTTGAAAGCAGAAAATGCATAGATGTTTTGGTGCTTTCAAGATGGACATTTGAAATTTCAACTGGACTTTTTGCCACTTAAGATGACTGACAGCTTGAATAGGAGCTTCCATAGATGCTCTCTTTCTGTCTATCCGTCTAGACATATTGAACCTTTCAATAGCTTCTCCATTTCCTTTCATGGTGTGTAGGCCTACACGAAGACTGACTGACTGCATGCTCGCATCAGACCTTATTCAATAGGATGTGCTGTCCTTCGAGGGAGAAAGGACAGCACAAACTGATACTCAGTAGATAAGCAGCGAACGTCTCCCAAATGACACCCTATTTCATAAATAGTGCACTACTTTGAGCCCTATGGGCCTCTGGTCCAAAGTAGTGCACTATTTAGGAAAT